CCATCTCAGCGCACCTCGGTCTGCCAAACTACCAATCTGAGCGCGCCTCGGGTTGCGCTGCTCGAAACTACCTCTACACGGGGTTCGCCATGCTGCGCCACCCTGCACTGCGCCGGGAAACTAGAGCCCATTGTATAGTATGTTGTTCAAAATTGCATGAAAAAGTCATAGTATAGCATGTTGTTGAAAATTGCATAAAAAAGTCACAGTATAGCATGTCGTTCAAAATTGCATAAAAAAGACATAGCATAGCATGTTGTTCAAAATAGCATAAAAAAGTCATAGTATAGCATGTTGTTCAAAACTGAATAAAAAAGTCATAGTTTTGCATGTCGTTCAAAATAGCATGAAAAAGTCATAGTATAGTATGTCGTTTAAAATTGCATTAAAAAGTCGTTCAAAATTGCATAATAAAGTCATAGTATAGTACGCTGTTCAAAATTGCATTAAAAAGTCTTAGTATAATATGTCGTTCAAAATTGCATAAAAAAGTAATAGTATAGGATGTCGTTCAAAATATCATAAAAATATCATTGTATAGCATGTCATTTAAAACTGCATAAAAACGTCATAGTATTGTATGTTGTTCAAAATTGCGTAAAAATGTAACAGTATTGCATGTTGTTCAAAACTGCATAAAAAGTCATAGTATAGCAGGTCGATCAAAATATAAAAACGTCAGACTATAGTATGTCATTCACAATTGCATAAAAAAGTCATAGTATAGTATGTCATTTAAAATACCATAAAAAAGTCAGAGTATAGCATGTTGTTCAAAATTGCACAAAAAAGTCATAGTAGAGCATGTTGTTCAAAATAGCATAATAAAGTCATAGTATAGTATGTCGTTCAAAATTGGATTAAAAAGTCTTAATACAGTATGTCGTTCAAAATTGCATAAAAAGATAATAGTATAGCATCTTGTTCAAAATTGCATAAAAAAGACATAGCATAGCATGTCGTTCAAAATAGCATAAAAAAAGTCATAGTATAGCATGTTGTTCAAAACTGAATAAAAAAGTCATAGTTTTGCATGTCGTTCAAAATAGCATGAAAAAGTCATTGTATAGTATGTCATTTAAAATTGCATTAAAAAGTCGTTCAAAATTGCATAATAAAGTCATAGTATAGTACGCTGTTCAAAATTGCATTAAAAAGTCTTAGTATAATATGTCGTTCAAAATTGCATAAAAAAGTAATAGTATAGGATGTCGTTCAAAATATCATAAAAATATCATTGTGTAGCATGTCATTTAAAACTGCATAAAAACGTCATAGTATCGTATGTTGTTCAAAATTGCGTAAAAATGTCACAGTATTGCATGTTGTTCAAAACTGCATAAAAAGTCATAGTATAGAAGGTCGATCAAAATATCATAAAAACGTCAGACTATAGTATGTCATTCACAATTGCATAAAAAAGTCATAGTATAGTATGTCATTTAAAATACCATAAAAAAGTCAGAGTATAGCATGTTGTTCAAAATTGCACAAAAAAGTCATAGTAGAGCATGTCATTCAAAATTGCATAATAAAGTCATAGTATGTCGTTCAAAATTGGATTAAAAAGTCTTAATACAGTATGTCGTTCAAAATTGCATAAAAAGATAATAGTATAGCATCTTGTTCAAAATAGCATAAAAACGTCATAGTATAGCATGTCGTTCAAAATAGCATAAAAACATCAGAGTACAGTATTTTGTTCAAAATTGCATAAAAAAGTCATAGTTTAGCATGTTATTCAAAATTGCACAAAAAAGTCATAGTATAGCATGTTGTTCAAAATTGCGTAAAAAGTCATAGTATAGTATGTCGTTCAAAATACCATAAAAACATCAGAGTATAGTATTTTGTTCAAAATTGCGTAAAAACGTCATAGTATTGCATGTTGTTCAAAATAGCATAAAAATGTCATAGTAAAGCATGTCGTTCAAAATAGCATAAAAACATCAGAGTATAGTATTTTGTTCAAAATTGCATAAAAAAGTCATAGTATAGCATGTTGTTCAAAATTGCATTAAAAAAGTCAGAGTATAGCATATAGTTCAAAATTGCACAAAAAAGTCATAGTAGAGCATGTCGTTCAAAATTGCATGAAAAAGTCATAGTATAGTATGTTGTTCAAAATACCATAAAAACGTCATAGTATAGCATGTCGTTCAAAATTGCATGAACAAGTTATAGTATAGTATGTTGTTCAAAATTGCATAAAAAGATAATAGTATAGCATCTTGTTCAAAATAGCATAAAAACGTCATAGTATAGCATTTCGTTCAAAATAGCATAAAAATGTCATAGTAAAGCATGATGTTCAAAATAGCATTAAAACATCATTGTATAGTTTTTTGTTCAAAATTGCATAAAAAAGGCATAGTTAAGCATGTTGTTCAAAATTGCATAAAAAAGTCATAGTTCAGCATGTCGTTCAAAATTGCACAAAAAAGTCATAGTATAGCATGTCGTTCAAAATTGCATAAAAAGTCATATCATAGCATGTCATTCAAAATTGCATAAAAACGTTATAGTATAGTATGTTGTTCAAAATTGTATAAAAAAGTCATAGTATAGCATGTCATTCAATATTGCATAAAAATGCTATAGTATAGCATGTTGATCAAACTATCATGAAAACATCATAGTGTAGTATGTCGTTCAAAATAACATAAAAATATCATAGTATAGTATGTTATTCAAAATTGCACAAAAACGTCATAGTACAGGCAGTCCTTCAAAATTGCATTAAAAAGTTATAGTATAGCATGTCATTCAATATTGCATAAAAAAGTAATAGTATAGCATGTCATTTAAAACTGCATAAAAACGTCATAGTATAGTATGTTGTTCAGAATTGGATAAAAATGTCATAGTATAGCATGTTATTCAAAATTGCGTAAAAACATCATAGTATTGCATGTTGTTCAAAACTGCATAAAAAAAGTCATAGTATAGCAGGTCGACCAAAATATCAAAATATCATAAAAACGTATGTCGTTCAAAATTGCATAAAAAAGTCATAGTATAGTATGTCATTCACAATTGCCTAAAAAAGTCATAGTATAGTATGTTGTTCAAAATTGCATAAAAAAGTCATAGTATAGTATGTTGTTCAAAATTGCATAAAAAAGTCATAATATAGTATATAGTTTCAAAATAGCATGAAAATGTCAAAGTATAGTTTGTCGTTCGAAATTCCATGAAAATGTCATAGTATGGTACGTCTTTCAAAATTGCATAAAAAAGTCATAGTAAAGTATGTCATAGTATATATAAAATGTCATAGTATAATATGTCGTTCAAATTGCATGAAAAAGCCATAGTATAGTAAGTAGTTCAAAATTGCATGAAAACGTCACAGTATAGTATGTCGATTAAAATAGCCTAAAAACGTCATCGTATAGCATGTCGTTCAAAATTGCATAAAAATGTCATGGTATAGCATGTCATTGAAAATAGCATTAAAAAGTCAAAGTATTGTATGTTATTCAAAATTGCATAAAAAAGTCATACTATAATTTGTCATTAAAATGGTCGTACAAAAAGTCATGTTATAGTATGACATCAAAATTGTTATAAAATGTGAAAGTATAGCATGATATAAAATTGCTCATCAAAAAAAGTCACAGTATTGCAGATTGTTTGTCAAAGTATGGCCTCAGGGAAAGAGGCAGCCCTAAGAAACTTTTTCTGCAGCTTCTGAATCTGACATAAATTTCTTAACGGCCCTGAATGGAACAGAGAGGTTTGGGAAAGAAATTGTGTCAGGACAGTGCTGGATTCTGTCCAACTGGAAGATAAGGGTATGTAAAGGGAGGAAGGTATGGAAGAGTGTATGACTCATAAGGGAGAGGCTGATGAAAGAAACTTTTGAGAGAACTAATCCTTATTCCAGGACTGCTTGTTCAGCAAACTAGCTTCATTAGTGTGAAGGTCACACAACTTTTGTGAGACTGAGGTTGGTATTTATGCTCACCTTGGGGTCATTACTATTTATTTCATTCTTTACCGCACCATGCTTTCTTCACAGAAGTCACTTGGGTCCCGTTCTAACTCGCTGCAATTACATGTGCTCTTGCATGATGTTATTGCTGCATCCAGTTGCCAGGATCTTTTCACAGTTTTCTCTTTCTGATAAGATTAAAAATGTGAAAATAGATGTAAGACTGAGTGTGTTTATTGTTGGTATTAGGTATTAGGATTTTTGCATGTATACAATGGAATCAGAAACCTGGAAAAGACCTTATCTCTGCTCAGAGAAAATATACTGGCTGGAGTACTCTGCTCAAAATTGATATACTGTGGCAAGTACCTTATGGCGGCTTCTGACCATTTTTTATTTGTTCATAAATTATTGACTGTTAAAGAACCATGTGCATGCAGATGATCAGACACCTGGATTCTGGTCAAGGGATAGCCAGGTATCTCATGTTTCATGTCAACAGATTTTCCCGAGTAAGATAGAAAACCAGAACAAAACTCAGAAGCTAAATTTCTAATGTGAAATTTGCATCCTATGTATGTGAGGTGTTGTTACTGCTGCTGCTACTCAGTTTTTAACACACTCACACACCAATGGAACAGCCATTGGGGTTCAGTATCCTGGTCAAGGATACTTTGACATGCAGACTAGAGGAGCCGGGTATCGCCTGGAGGAGCCAGTATAGTGGATGACCTGGTCTACCTCTGAGCCACAGCTGCTCTGAGTCGCTGAGTAACTCGTAAAAGTCTTATGCCTTTAAGAAAGTTTGGTGCATGATATCAGCACCTTTCGTCAAACAAATACTTTTACATTTTGGGAAATACACATACTACTTCTCTTGCCAAGAGTTAGATGAGAAGATCAATACCACTCTACGAAACGAGAGTGGTATCAATTTTCTTATCTAACTCTTGGCAAGACAGCCAATTACTATTATGCCAAATTATTCAGTCAGTCTTGCTCCCATATATTCTACCATCTGAAGTGACAGCAACTTTCAACATGGCTTAAACAAACTCCACAATTTATGATAGTAATTGGCACATTTGCTTTATTTTGAAAACAGACATTGAAACCATTTTTATTTTTTTCATATTTTTTTCTCACAAGTTTGAACTCCTTGATAAGGTTGAAACTGGACATTGCACTCACTGGAACATGGGAAAAGTATTTTTTGTTTGCTCGTTTGTTTGATTTTTCTTTTTACTTTTTTTTGTTTTTTTGCGTAACATCAGTGCAAGAGTATTTTTCCAATTCATATAAACTGTCATAACAACACCAAAGACATCAAAAAGAAGCCGCCACACCTCTTAAGTTTTTGTGACTGCGAAAAAGTTCCTCTCAGAGGGAGAGTTCCCATCATGCATCTGGTTCGATGGTTCATGCTACTGTTCTCATGTTTGGTTGGCAGAACACAAATCGTCATGTAAGAGCCAGTTACACCAATACTATAGCTGACTTCTAAAGTTTATTATATGCTCATGTCATTTAAATGGCAACAGGTCCTTTATTATAAATGTGAGTAGACAGGGAGTTTGTAAAAGGGGTGTAAACCAAGCTTGAATGACTCAAGCAGAATAGAGAGAGAGTAATAGTCTTGTCCTATATGTGGTTTTTGGATTCAGGATAAAGCTGCCCAACTGGAAATGTCACACATTTAATTATACATTCTATTCTCCATCCGATGTGTCGGTACATTACCTATTTGTTGTGTTTTCAATACACTTGTACTGTGTTGAAAACTCAAATTGCATTTCATAACCAGCTTGTTTTTGTGCGTGCATTTGCAGAAGTACAGATTTTATTTGCAAAATGTGTTTCAAGAAAGTGCATTGCGATGCAAATAAAGTATGGTGCATTCACAATGCATTTTAAATGTGTTAATATCCAGTTGGGAGCGTTCATTCCACCACTGATTCACTTACAATACATAGTGAAGATCAAATCAAATCCTCCTGCTCCTCCTCCTCCTCCTCCTCCTCATCATCATCAACATCATCATCATCATCATCATCATTTCATCATCATCATCATCATCATCATCATCAAGGTAACAATCATTTTTCATCACTTTTAACATCATCATCGTCATCATCATCAACATCACCACTTCCTCATAGTATTAGCTTGAGCCAAAAAACTTAACGCTGGAAACTCCCCCAACATGAGAAAATCATTGCCACACAAAAAATGACAAACAAATAGAAACGGACTGCCTTCACATTGGGAAGGCAAAGAGCAACCTTTTTAGATTTTTGTTTTCGTGTTATTCTTCATACTCTTAATTCTGCTTTCTTTAGGTTAGACTTTTGCCTTAGTCATCCTTGGACTCGGTGCCCTCCGCGGCTGCATCTGCTGGGGTGGCCTCCTCTGCTTTAGACTCCTCTGCAGCATCTGGGTGGAGGGAGGGAAGGAAGGAGGGCGAAGGGTAAAGAGAGAGAAAAAAAAGGCAAAGTGCGAGGAGGAAAATGAGAACGAAGGGTGGAGAGAAGGGGGACATGACAGATAAAAGGTGGGTTGGGGAGAGGAGAGAGGAAGAGAGAAAATTAGCCTGTGGAGAGGAGATATTACATTGTGGGGCTGGAATAATAAAGCTCTAGCTGGGTCTTCTGAGATACTGAGCATCAAAGATCTCACATATCAGCTGCTACTTTTGATGTTTTAAATATTTCACCTCAGAAGGTTCTCGGTATAAAAAAGCATAAGGTAACATTCAAAAATCATGAAAATGTGGATATCAAAAATACACAGAAGAAACTGTGTAATTCTGTGTTGTTCACAAGATGTCAACTCGACTAAAACTGAGAGCAAGTCATTCAGAAGATGCAACCAAATGTCTGAAATCCCACGTTGGCTGTGTAAATAATGAAGAAGGAGAGTGCTCCTAATGGACCCATGAAACATTTGAACTGACATCACAACGCTAACAGCAGCATCTCGGCCTGTCACATTGAATACTGTGTGATGCCTGAAGTGTACTGCTCTGTAACAACATCCAGTGGAGGCTTACTAAGAGGTGAATACTGCTGAATAACGATCCATGATACATCACCAAGCCATTACTAATCAAGTTTGTGAGTGATATTGTCCTAATGCTTTACATTTGTCTTTGTATATCTCTTCTTTGCTTTTTTAAATCCTGTGCTGAAGGCTAATTTGCTGTTCATAAATTATTATTATTATTAGTAGTAGTAGTATTATGGTATAAGTCTATTGTCCCTAAAAAAAAAAAAAAAGTAAAAAGTAAAAATTTAACATTTCCTGATGTGTCATACAGTATTTGGTACCTTTATTTTATTGTTCCTGACCCAACCTATTATTTAAGTGCTTTGAGAGCAGTGATCTCATACCATGATGATCTCATACTCCTATAATAGAAAGAGGAGACATCAAAGAATGACATCATTGCATTGGAGATTGGGATGGTGGAGTGCATGTGTGTGGGTGTGTGTGCATATGTGAGTGACTGAGTGTGTGTGAGGGTGAGGCTGAGAGAAAGACAAGGAAGTGGGGCGATCCTGTCTTTGTCAGTGCTTGTACTAATGTGTCAGTGTGTGTGTGTGACTCAAGACAGCGTGATGTTCCAGGTAAGAGGTAATTAGCTTGTTAGCCAGTATGACAGACTCGAGAATGTCTCTACAGCCACTGAGCTGCGTGATGCAAATACAATTTCACCCAATTCTGAGAGCCAAAGCCCATCATTTTTTGGTATTTTGTCATCAGTGCCACCTCAGTTATCTACACCAGTGATTGTGATTAAATTGCTGGTTTAGTTTTGCTGATGCATTCACAAACAAGAGTTGCAGATGGAAAAACAAATGCCAGAACTCTGGTGATCTTTGTCTTGGTTTGCAGATTCAGCCCACTGATTTCACTTAAGTTTTCAGTAAACAATGTTAATGAGAGGATGACACATAGTTTACTGTGGAACTTGTAACTAAGATATAAAGTAGAGCTGAAGTGGAAGGAAGTGCGAAGACTGGCATCAGTCATCCCCGATCAGTAATTTAAATGAACATAATCTTCTTACTCGGACTGAATTTACATTTGTAATTTTGTTTTTAACACAAGATGGCACAACTTTCAAAGAATGGACATTCCATAAGGAGTGCCGCAAGGCTGTGCCCCGGGTCCACTATTTTCTTTGTCTTTGTTAATGCTAGGGGTCAACACAGGGTGATTTTCACTGTTATGCAGATGACACTCAACTCTATATAGCTGTTGATCCTGAGCCATATTTATTCCCATGAAAACTACATCTGTAACATAAATTTATAGGTGACCTAAAATTTTCACCTAAACTAATTTTATGACAAAACAGATGTCCTCCGTACTGCTCAAAAGGAGCAAAAGAGAAAAGAAAAAAAGCTTTTTACCATACTATTTCTGCATTTTAAATCTCAGGCAAGGAATCTGAGTGTTACTGTCAACTCTGATCTAACTATCCTGCTGCATATGAGCTCTATCAGAGAAGCTTGCACATGCTTTTATTACAAGAAGGCTTATACAGAATGCTGCTGCAGAGTTTTAAGGGGTTGAAAGAAAAGAGATCACATCTCTCCTGTTATTAAATCTCTGCACTGGCTTCCAGTTAGTTTTTGGCTGAACCTGAAGATTATTGTACCTATCTGAAAAGGTATTTATGGAATTGACCATGAGATGCTGTTATAATATGATACAAAGCTATATCCCCGGTAACATCCCTGAGATCCACAGACTCTCTGCTGCTCACCATACCAAAACCTAAAGACTAGTGGTGAAGCTGCTTTCAGACGTTTTGGATCCTCTGAATCTGAAGTCAGCAACATAAATTGATGCATTTCAGTGACTTTTTAATCTTTCTTTCACCTGTTACCTCTCCTGTTTTTTTTTTATTAAGTCCATTTTTGATTAATCTGAAAAGTCTTAAAAAATTAAGAATATGATAGCAAAAGTGGTTATTGTAATGATCATTGCTGTTGTGTTATGTTACTTTGCAAGGATAGACAAACCAAATACTAGCTCTACATAGGGGAATTTATGTTTTCAAATTTTCCTGTTTCTGCATCCTGCGTGGCACATGGTAGAAGTATCAGTTTTGCAACCTACCGCTAGATTCCACTAAATCCTACACACTAGACATGTGTAAAAGATGCTATATAGATAACGTTTATTATAATGTGTGAATATGCAGTGCTATGCCATCATATGACAGTTAACAACTTGTTCAGCTGTAACTAAGTGAAACCAGTGACACAGACTATCCTTTGGTGGAGAATCTGGATCATACCCTCATAAATCATTCAGTCAGATCAGAGTACCTGGCAGACTTGTGTGTTTGACTCTGGTCTGTGTGCTGAAAAACCTTAACCAAGTGACTTAGTAATGAATATTAATTTGCAGTTGGTAAAGCAGATTGTGGCCAGCAGTGGATTCTTAATTAGCAGTTCTTTGTCAAGTAGTGTTTGTTTGTGACAGGCTTCCCCGGTGCAGATCGTGACCAGTAGGGATCATTAATCATTCATTGAAATCAGAGCACCTGTTATCCCTGCTCTGCTCCATGCAGGGCAGCTATCCCATCGAGGTGGTAACTATGACAACAGGGAGACAGTGCTGCCTAGGTGACCTAGTTTCCGTGTAGTTCTCCAGTGTGTGTGCGTGTGTTTCCCACCTCACACCCCCACCTACTCCAGACTGAGCATGCTCCATTAACTACCTGTCTGACCCAGTCTGAGAGTCCTTGGACCAGAAATATGAGTTCATGTCAAGACTTTGTTATATCAATATTATAATGTAATTTCATGGCCTTACAGTTTCATGTCAGGTAAACCATTCCCCTTTAACTGGACATCAAATGGTGGTTTGCTTTTAGATCTGTTAGCTTGTGCTGGAGGTCCAGACAGCAAAGATCTTATCAATTATTTCTGGCCTGTTGTGATGTGTAAAGAGAATTTAATGAGGTCATCCATTTTCACCACTATTTATATTTTAATTTGAATAAATGACTGTAGCAGCCACGTCAATATGTTGGCCTTGCTGAAGTGAAATTCATAAGAAGTCATCTCAGATGTTAATGAACCTTTATAACTCACGAAACATGATGCTTTCTCATTAAGCCAACAATACGACCTTGCTCCTAAACAATAACTCTGATCGTTCCCAAGATAGCAGTCGCCTATTGTACAACGTCATTCCTGACCACACATTATTTCCAACCCTGTATTTCTATCCCAATCTCCACCTCATCAGTATGGAGTTTCCATCTTGCAGAGGCTGAGATACAAGGCTGTCTAATCTAATATTGAGCTGTGTCTCTGTGTTAACCAGTGAATGGTGGAGCACTGCCAAAGATCTTTAAATCCCAAAGACTCAACACGCAGTTATTTCCTGCACTGCCTGCCAAGCAGACTACGGGAAAGCTTACCTATTCCTTGTTATTAGTTTTTTTACAGTAAGTAATTGCTTCTTGATTGGAAAGTGTGTCTGGAATTATTTTTTGTCCATGAACTCGTTGCCCTCGCAAATATGTGCACAACTTATTGTTTGACTAATGTTGTTTTGAGAACCTTTGTCTTATGTAAGTGGGTTTATTTTACTTGGCATGTGCTTGTGTGCATGTAATGGGGTTTTAAATAACTCTATTGTAATGAATAGAACTTACAAGCTTTAGTATTTACCTTGTTTATCTTTTGTTTGGTTAGGCTCCTCCTTCTCAGCTGTCGGGCTAACAGCAGCAGGCACATCGGCTTGTCTGGCCTCCTCCTTTTTCTCTTCACTCTCCTCCTTCTTCTCCTCAGCTGTGGCCGTGGTGGGACTCTTGGCTGCCGCCGCTGGGGCCTCCACCTCTTTGGGCTTCTCCTCGGCTTTCTCCTCCACCTTTGGCTCCTCTTTCTGGGGCTCAGAGGGCGCTGTGGCGGCCGTGGGAGAGGCAGCAGCCGGCGCTGCTGCTACAGGAGACGTCGCTGCGCCTACAGGAGAGGCAGCAGCAGCTGCCGGAGAGTTAGCTGGCTTGTCTGCCACTGGGCTTTTGGCTTGGCTCGTCTCCTCCTCCTTCTTGGCCTCCTCTCCTGCAGCTTCCTCCTCCTTTGCAGGTGCCTCCTCTCCCTCTGCTTTCTTTGCCTCCTCTCCCCCCTCTGTCGCCTCCTCTGCAGCAGCAGGACTGTCTCCTTCCTTCTCTTCCTCTCCATCTTTCATCTTTTTCCGAGTTATGTGTCCACGGAAGCTGGCCTGTATTTTGGTGGCAGCCTTGTGGGCCTTGTCCTCGGGTTTGTTGGTGGTGCCATCCTGTTCGATCTTCTGGTCTGCATCCTCATTCTTCTCCACCTGGTAGGCAAGAGACAATACAGCAAGTTAACACCTACCATAAGCATCTAGCAGGTCCACTGGAAACCAGCAAAGGAATGTACTGGTTGTAATGCTGAACACTTGCAAAGAATCCCTCTACTGTGGGGGTATGTAGCTTTAGGATGATCATCCCAAAATATCATGCTGGCAAAGAAAGTACAATATGTCATGAGTTGAAAGGTCAGAAGTCAGAAAAAGACAAAAGTATGTGCTATGAGAGAGGGTTTTAAGTTAACGTATGAACTGATGTATTTATAGCCATTACTGGAGGACTATAGACGGGGAGAAGTTGGGTTAGGGTTTCAGGACTGGTTTAGAATTGAGTAAAGATGTAGGACTGAATGAGGAACAGGGTTAGGAATAGGACAGTACACAACGTAATATTGAAAGGGGTTCCATGATATTACCTTCTGTAACTGGATCCATAGCTGTCCATCAAATAGTGGGTTGTGCTATGAGTCATATAAATCTAATGAAAAGAAATCAAAATCAAATAAAGGAATGAATGATGAGCACTGAAAGTGGCAAACAAAATGAATCAGTACATTCAAAATGAATAGGCAAATAAATCAAGGCAAAATATTTTCTAGGCAAAGTTCAACCAATCAAAAGCTTTAAATGTGCACCTTAAATGAATGTGAATAAGCAACATGAAGCAAACACAAACTGTCAAAGAGCATGCAGGCAGTGCAGCATCAGTTAGCCAAATGATAAAGATGTGAAAACTGCAGAATCTCTGTTTCTGTCCTTCCAGGTATCAAGTCTTTATCAGGATCCAGTGATTAATTTGACACAATAATGGATCTACAGAATTTTATCATTTCATGTGCTGGAAAGAGGAGATTTAGGGCCATTGTGAATCGAGAGTATAACAGATGTGTGTGTGGGTCGATTGTCTCCACACAATAAATCGGATTTGGGGCACGACAAATGACTCTAGGCATTTATTGCGGTTATTCAATCCAGGCATGAGGATGATTATTGTCCTCTTGATAATGGTGCTGAAATGGATTTGGTGAATAATTAAACTTAAATGTAAAACCTCTCCATGGCATTCATTAATGTCCCCTGGATTCACTGCTAATGACATCTTCAAAATTGTAGCCAAAAAAATGTAAGCTTTCAAAATTGAGGCTCTCTCCACAAAATAATGAGCTGATCTCTTTCTCTAGGTACAGTAGCTTTCTACATCTCCATCTCCGGCTGCTAGGGAACGAGCTGCCTGCTAGAATCTCCTCAGCATTCACTGCCATACCCCTCCCAACCATCAAAGGTAACCTTGACAACCAGAGTGCTAACTCATCACGGCGCTGTCTGCTGGTTGGTGCTATGAAAGACTATATGTCACCCTGATTGGCAGTGCACCTGACCCCTCAGGGGAGCAGGCCAATAGGAACTCGTAAATCAGGCGGAGCAATCAGCATGGTTAAGGAGAGGGTGTGTGTGATGGAGCAGCAGGGTGCGGTACGGGGCTGGCGGGGGGGCCGAAAGGGGTTATATGTATCAATGCTGTCGGTGTGTGTCGCTGAGCAGTAGCATCTTCTTTAAGGTCAGTGAATTTGAGGGGAAATGGTTTTCAAAATGCGACCCTGTAACTACATCCATCATTCTATCTCCTGATAACCTACTGTCTCTAATAGTGTAATTATACTGGATATGAGGTTTGACTTGGACAGCTGCCTGTGTGAGGAATCGCATCTGTGTGACATGATTTAAGAGCCCGAGGCGCTAAACCAACATGTCTTCTTCAGGGTCAGTGTGTCAGTCCAATATTGGAGCAGAGAGGCCAAGGTGCAGCTGTGCTGGTATATTTACCTCCTCCACCTATATTCACATGCCATCCCCAGGGTTCAGGGTGTAAATCCTGCCCCGGGCCCACCCGCAATTCCTAATATACAACATCTTCCTGAAGCAATTTTGTGCAATGTAATATTTAAAGAAAAACAGCCTGATACAGCTGGCTATGAAAGGGTTAGTAGATTTTCAGGGGCTTTATATTGCTGCACAGTTATAGTGACTTATGTTTAAAAAATGAAGCAGAGCTGTTCATTTAACAATCAGATATTAAGTGTGGAAATAAACTTTAGCATGTGTCCTGCTATTAGAACAAATAGCCAGCGTGGAGACAGACAAAGCACCACCGGCACACCCACTGCTCTTAATAATATGCAGGTCTCTGGTGACTTATTGGGCTTTTACTACATCTGATCTCATGGGTGCTTACAATTGCCAAAAATTTGACCCAAGCACTTAACTCTAAATAGAATTACTTACTGGCTGCATACAGTGAGTCAGACAGAGAGAGGGAAAGAGAAAGCGATGGATAAGGGTGTTTGGGAATATGGGGGTATGACATCATTGTTGGAACGGAGGGTATGTCATTCACTTTCGAGATCAGGGTGTGTATGAGCGCAAGTGTAATAAAATCACTGCAGAGTGCCAGGTGATCTCATATCAGCACATGAAGTCGGGGAAGAAAGACCCCCATCATGGTTTGACCACAATTATAGCATCATCATTTGAATTATTGATATCTGTCTGTGCATCACCCTCAAAAGTGCTGCGCTGTGATTTTCTGACTGCTGTAGTATCTTTCCACAGGCCATAAGATTCAGTGCTGAGTGACTTTGAGCTGCCATATAAAAGTTATTATGCTGTGATATACGAGCGTTTAATGACTGAGACTGTTACTGCATTAAGATCTCGTGTTATCTAAACAGAAACATGATTGCAAATCCTTTAAGAATTGCTCCTTGACTGCTAACTGAACCCTGGTCACGTACCCTCCTGCAGGCGCTGTTGCACTCGGTGTCTGTGCGGCACACAGTTTTCATTCATAAATACAGCAGCACCTCCCAAAGGTACGGCACACCACAAGGTGCACTCCCTTTAAGTCTTCACACCAAGACTCCACAACCGTTTAAACTCTTCCTTGATTAATTTGCAGCGAGGCAACATATTTACATTATCAGGTTAATCAAATGACTTATTACAATTAGCCTGCAGTGTTTCCTCTTTGAACACGGTCGTTGTGGTTGCCATAGATACACTACATTAACCACTTAAAACTGTTTTTATTACCCAGCAAAAAGTGGAATGTTTGCAATATAAAAGTGCTTTTCTTGCATGATTGTAAAACGGATTATGCAATCCTGCAATTATAAAAGCTACAGTGTAATGTAGAGCATTAAAAGCTTGCTGTAGGACACTTTTCTAGGCAATGTGTAGGTGACAAATAATTACTGCCATCTTCATGTTCAGAATCTAAATGTACAGTACAATAGCTCACAGGTTAATTTCTTGACAAGAGTGCCATTTCCCAGAGGGCAAACGCCTCTGTCTTTCCTGTCTGTAAAGGCATTAAACGGCCGTGTTGAAATGTGTTCAGTACAACGTCTGATGGACGGATGTGTCTATTCCTGCTTTGCCTATCGGCTGCAGTCTGTGCTCTCTCCCTGTCTGCCTCTGTCCTTGGGGGGGCACCGGCTGTCGTGAGAACCACACCCGAGATTCAGTGGCTTTACCGGCAGATCCATAACCACACACACACACACACACACACACACACACACACACACACACTCACACACACCATCCCCCAATGGTGACACACAGTAACAATCCGCCACCTTCCTACTGCCTCATTGCCAGTGCCATTAGGGACTTGTTTCAGGAGGGGGAGAAGGAGGGGAAGGGAGGCGAAACGGGGGAAGACACGGTGGAGCGGTGGGGTTTATGCTGGTTGAATTACCACAGAACCACAGCTCACGCTAATGCACACGCCAGGCGTGCATATAATCATGCTTCTGTTTTTTTCAATTCTAATCCATTCAAGCAGGAGACTCCCTTTTCACCTCGCCGCTCCGCCCAGCCTAGGACCGAATGCCGCTGGCAAAAGGGGAGAGAAATACTAAAGGTAATACTTGCATTTATAATGGTGGAGCTTTGCAGAGGCCCTTTATCACGAACCCAACAGGTGCAGCTGCTCATTTATTTGATGTAAGTCACTCTAACATGTAATTATTGAAGATTTGTGTATATTGTAAGCACTAAAATATACAGCACATTTACTCATTTCAGTAAAAAGAAAAACTCCCCTAACATTTGTCACACTACCACAGTTCCAAAGCAGGCAGCGAGGTAACATTAGCCACCCTGTCAGTGGCATAGTTCCTGCAAAGACACCTTGCTCCTGAAAATTCAAGCATGATTTCAATGGCTGTCTGCTCTCCTGCAAGAAGCATCCAGACACCAACGAGCCAAGACGAGCTGCTGTCTGCAACTGCTGAATATCTCCCTCTCCTTCTTTCTGTCGTCTTTCACTCTCTTTCTCACTGAGCAAACTGCTACCCACTCATTCTCTCTCACACACACACACACACACACACACACGCACACACACACACACACACACACAACGGAGCACCACACCCTTTTAGCCAGCTATCTCCTGCAGATGAGGAGAGGGGGGCTCAGGTGGTGACTGCCACAGCCCCCGCTCGCCATCTCTCTCTCCTCTTTGACGGTGAATTGATGAGCGATGTTAAAGGATGCACTGTTTCTTTTACGACGGCCCGGGAAAAGATGCTCCGCAGCAACTAATAAGCGGCCATATGCCAGCGTCATTACATCCTCTAGAGCAGCCTTTAATTCAATTACACCGACTCTCTGCCTGAACAAAGGCTCCGCAATCGCCACTGATCTCATAGGGGCTGGGGGTGAGGATGGGGAGAGGGGCAGTGGGGCTGAGGGGTAAGAGGAAGTGGAGGCAAGCTGGAGGAAAAAGGGGCTGGGGCTGGACATGGTGGAGGCAGGAACTAAAAATATGGGCTGTGGCTGGTGCTCTGGGGAAAGGGGCATTGAGTGCACAGGGAGCCACAGTATGAGAGGAGATAATCCTAAAGGTAGCAGACTGGGTCTGAATTTTGGTCAAGAAGGATTTAGGTTCAGGCTGAAACAGGACAGACAGGGCAGGTATGATCCTGGTGCTAGGTGGAGAGCTAGGGATGGAGTTGGGCGGAGTTGAAAAAGAGCACATATGAGTGGGATTTGAAGGAATGGTTTATGGGGGAAATGACATTTTGGGGTAGGCCAGGTGATGGAGAAAGACCTGAGTTTAAAATGGACCTGTAAGAATATGATCCTTGATCTTCCCCCTAACCCTTACGTGAGGACAGGAAGCATCCTCTGTGGAGAATTTTGTTCTAAAACTGTATGAAACTAAAGATGAAGCTCAGGGCTGTGGCTACCGAGTAGACTTAAATGAAGTGCTAGTAGCCACTCCCATGGTGAAGATGTTGCAACAGCACTTAACACTCCACAATGGCAGGACCCAAAGCAATACTGCCATGTTTGAAGCAGCATACCATGCTCTTTGCTCATCCATCCATAAAGACCGCCGAGTCTGTCTGGATTAATTTATGCCTCTGCTCCTCAAAAGCAGGAGAGAGGAGGATAAGTGCTTGTAGGCCGGGAGGATATTTTTCCCTGTGGTGAGACGTGCACGCTCGAGGCAGCGACAGCGTTTTGTGGGAAAAGCCGGTGCCTCACCCACATGGCTGCAGTGTGCAGCACGCCGGCTTCCTTTCTTTTGATCTTTCCCACCTTTGCGCCTGCTCGCCACCTCCAACCATCATCCCTCGCTCTGTCACCACCACATTTCCTGCCGGTCGTAGCCACCATCCAGTTCACACTCTACGTTTCTGTTTTGCTGCATGCCTGCCTCTCCCTACCTTCCCCCATACCTTGCAGCCTCTCTCCCTGTCTCAGTCTTTTTTTTTTCACCTCTATTCCCCACCAGGTTCCCTTGGCTCTCTACCTCCTCTTGCATCTTTTTCCCCCCTCCATCTACCTCCATGTGCACCAGCTACACTCCCACCCCGCCGCTCATTCTCGCCCTGCTCTTCCTGCATGTCTTTCAACTGGCAAGCCATGCTTCCTTTCCCTCTCTCCTCCCTGCCAGAGCTAATATGACTCATCCCGGCTAACATTTAAGAAGCAGTCAAGTGCCACCGGAATCCAGCGTGCTACGAGTCCGATAAAATCACAATCAATTTAAGATAGCAGCAGAAAACCGGCTCTGATCACACACAAAACCACCATGATAGCTGCTGAAATATGGAGTGAAGCACAGAGGAGTGCCACCTTCCTTCTCCACTGTCCAGACCCACCCGCTTCCATGCAACACCTTTCTTTTTTTTATATTCACTGCCACTGAGAACAGGATTGGGTTATTACATACTATCCAACACCAGCCTTTCACACCCTTTAAATGAGTGCACACTTCATAGTACCCTCAATTGACAGCATCCACTTATAAAGCTGGAGGGCTATGATAATCCATTTAGACTCATTTATTCCCATTGTATTCCCCCGAGGCCACTGACATGATGGTGCTGCTCTCTCAATCCGTACCCCACCCTTTTTTTTTTCCTCTCTGTGGAAATTTACTTTCCTGTGTCACCCATTTCTGCTCAAGATAACAGAAATACAAAAGACACCAAGACCCCCTTTTAAGGCATCAATTAAAAGCACATAGGTTGGTCTAATTAATATGAATCATCTTGGATTAGAGGAGTTCAGTGGAGCTCCTGAACAAATGAGGGGAGTATTTCAGAGACAATACACAATCTATCAAGTGCCTTTCAATAATCTGTCACTTTTGTCAAGTGCATGATCAATACGAGGGAATGCCGGGCTGCCCGAGATCGAGTTACAGTCGTGTGCCTCTCTGCAAGTACAGTGTGAGGTCTGAGAGGCATTGTGGCAACATCCATTCATGCGGGATAATCACATTAACTAGGCGTGTCTGGGCTCTGTGGATAGACTTCTATAAAGACACGCCAGGCCCCGAGTCAAAGCAAATTACACCAACATTTGCTCTAATCTCTCCTCAAGCACCCTGATCTGACTACGAACCAACAGTCACAAAGTTCAGAGTTGAGATGCATCATTTTTTTTGTCATCATAAAGAGCTGAGAATATGAATAAAGCAAATCAGAGCAGTTTACCGGTTTGGTTCTTCTTATGCAGCACAGCATAGTTGTAGTTGTTGTATCCTCCCTTTTTCTTCTCTGCTTCTTTCTTCCCTTTTTTACCTCCCTTTCACTTCTTCTCTCTCACCCTCTCTCTCTCGCGCGCGCTCGCACTCTCTCGCTTTCTTGCACGCACACACTCTCTCTCTCTCTCTCTCTCTCTTCTCTCTCTCTCTCTCTCTGTGGCTGTATCAACAGCTAAGCCGCCCAGTGCATTTACTCATCCCAGTTTGCACACACACGCTCTTCAGTCGGTCTGCCTGGGTGCACCTCTCTCTCTCTCTCCCTCTCTTACTTGCTGCCTGACAATGACTACAAGCCCACCCTTTAAACCCCTCCCTTCCCCTCCATCCCTCCATCCCTCTCTCCTCCCCTCTTCCCTTCACACTATCCCCCTCCTCCTCCTCTTTCTCCTCCTCCTCCTCTTCTTGCTCATAGTGATGAACCCCCCCACCTCTTTTAGATCAGCACTCCTCTCCTCTACATCTTCTCACCCTCCTCCTCCTCCTCCTCCTCCTCCTCTCTTTCAGCCTGGCTCCAGCAAAAGCTGCGGCCCCACCCTAAAAAGGCTCTCGCTTAATGACTGACTGGATACCTCCAATTTTTTTGCTCTGATACATCATTTTTTATTCTGCTTTTTCCTCCCAAAACCAACACTACCCCTCTGTTTTATCCCCCCCCCCCTTCCTCATACACAAGGAGATGTCTTTTCTCTTAAAAAAGAAAGAAAGAGAAAAGAAGAAGAAGAAGCTCCCAAATGGAAGTCGCCTCCTCTGATTGCTCAGGCTCCCTCCTCAGACTGTGTTATACACTTTCTGGATCTCTGATCAGTGATATGAGCCTGTGAGCTCTGCGTCCAAATTACCATGGCGATGCCAAAAGCATGTTTTCTGGCACAGCCGGGAGCATCTCTTGCCAGGACAGACGTGTGAAAGAGAGCAGTGATGATCGTGAGGCACATGCATGCACGCACACACACACACACACACACACACTGTGCTCTTAGGACACGTCACCCGCAACCGCCAACCCACCCACCCCCCCATACCCAGCGCGCTCTGTTCTCATGGAAACACCAGCAGATAGACTAGAAGAGCAGAGGAGGAGGAGGAGTGTGTGTGAGAGAGAGAGATTGAGGGAGAGAAAAGGATGAAGGTAGGAGGAGGAAGCAAGAGGGCCGGGTGTGGCAGACAAGGCAGGCGAGGCAAACTGACTCTCTTTCCCTCTTTCCCTCCCTCTTTTTTTTTTTTTCTCCCTCTGTGCCCACATTTGCACACAGTCTGTTTTAATGAGCGGGCACAACACATGCATTATCCCCACAACTACATTTATAACCATTACCGTACAGTGAGGCTGGCAGGCGCATGCTCATGCAAACACCCACACTCTGTATTTGTCTTTCATAATACACACACACACACACACACACACACACAGACATACACACACACTGTGGTGTCAGAAAAGTCCCCACCCCCGCTCTGACACTGGCGAGCACCAGCAGATGCTACAGACACAATGAGGATGGAGGGAGGGATGGAGAGCAAGAGGATAGACACAGAGAGAGGGATGGATGGATGGAGGGGAAGAGGAGGAGGAGGAGGAGGATGAGGAAGAGTCCTGAGGGGTTGCGCTCTGCTATTCTTCTCTCTTACAGGATTATTCCACATCCAGTTCACTGAGGGGAAATCATTAACCTGAGCCACAGCCTTCCCGGTGGTCGCTGCTGCCACACAGGAAAATCTAGCACCATTACTTAGCTGTACTACATCATCACTATGTGTCATCATGTTCTATAGCGGACCATATGACACAGACACTGTAATAACGCAGAGTTCTGCTGAGCACGCATGGTCTTTCTTGGCGCTGCCCTGCTTTACTTTTATACAGGGATGCACATTCATACAGCTGCCAGTTCACAGTCCCCTACTGGGTTGCTTCACTGGAATAACTAGGAGATAAATGTTTGGCTCAGGGGAAGGGGCTGACTTTTTACTAAGTTGTCTGAGACCCAATTCTTAAGCTCAAATTTACAAACAGTTGAAGAATTAAAGGACTAAACTGAATAAATGAGCAGGGAAACATAATGAGTGTGAAAATAATGTGAATCGTATGCTACGGCCTTCACTAGTCACCAGATTAGCGCTGAATTGATGAAGGAAAGAAAATGGTAACAGTAATAATCAGTTTGTCGTTTAAAGGTCCAGTGTGTAGGGGCAGAAATGGTATATAATAATCATCACTATGTTTTCATTAGTGCATAATTGACCTTACGATACGCCCCGCCTCTTTGTGATGGTCTAACAAGCTGTCGGAGTAAGCATGGAGCCCACACTGAAGACATATTATCATGTTTTTGGAAAAATGAAAGAGTGATTCCAGAGAGAAGCAGACAGAGGGGTCTACAGTCTGTGTTTGAAGGATATATCCAGGATGTCAAACTGACTCAGCAGCAACAACAGGTTAAAAAGACAAAGATAGAAGCTAAAGCCGAACTATAGGCTACAGATCACAGTGTAAAAGTGAACCACCACATCACTGCTGATCGCCACACAAGACAATGAATGTAAAGGGAAACTTTGCTGATATTGAACCAGCTGTGTGGCATCGCAGTGTGTGCAGAAGAACAGTGTTTGGCTTCGCCCCCGTGCTGCTGCCAGCACCTGCGATAACACACAGCTGGTTCAATATCAGCAAAGTTTCCCTGCTTCCCTTCACTGATTCCTGCACAGCAGAGTCAGTAGCTAGCTAGCTAACCCTACTCTTTTCAGGGTCTGAGTTTGGTTTTGGAACAGGGAAGAAACGTATATCTTTTTCCAACCTCTCCAGGTAACGAGTATCATTGATACACGACGTGCACCAGGCACAACATTGAGCTCCAAATCCACAACACCAGCCTGAAAATGAAGTTCTGCTACCTCGCCGCTAGATGCCACTAAACCCTGCACGTTAGACCTTTATTTGTTTTTTTTGGTTTGTTTTTAGCAAAAGAGACGAACATTAAGTAGTTCCTGCTTCTCAAATGTGAATATTTACTAGTTTTCTTTATCTTCTGGAACATTATGGAGGGCATTTTTCACTATTTTCTGATTGGCTATGTCCTCCTGAGACCTGAACTTTTGTTTGTATGCATTTTTAATTTCTCCTACAGTAGCTATTTGGGATCAGTACCCAATAAGTATAAAAAACTGAATATTGTCAACAATAATCAAGTCCCAGTGTCCTCAAACCAGACAATAATAAAGTCCTAATGTCTTCAAATGAGTACTTCCTATCAAAAGTGTCTAAAATTGGTCAAATTTGTTGCCATATCAAACTACAAACATTATTAGTCATAAACTTTCAACCATAAAATTTGATCAGGTTTTGTATCGTGTCCACTTTTGTGTTGGGATCGGCTGCAGACTGACTTGGCAGAGATGGCTGCCATCTTGCTTTTATATGGATTAGTGTATTACTACCACTAGATGGCACAAAAAGTGTCCACGAATGAGGACAACAGGTCTAACTTAAGTTAGTCTCGCTCACCAGACCTTTCTCATGAAAAGAAAAGTCTGGCTGGGCCAACTCTCACTTTAAGATTGGAGAAAAAAACGCCCTGGCTGCTTGTATTTCTTTCAACCAATCACAATCGTTCTAGGAGGTGCCACAGCAATGGTACGCTTGCAAAAATACTGCCGGGGGGAAACAGGTTTTGGTGTAACACGCCCACAAAAATATCGCCTACAGGACGCGAACCATGGCAGAAAAATGGCTACATCCCCGCAAGATCAAACACTGCAAAAGTTAGTAAAGGACGTGTTGAAAACTGCAACTGGAGGTGGTAGGGCGGGACCTTCAGCGGGTGGCTCGTTCCGCCCAATGAGAGGCTGATCTTTGCAGCGAACTTCCACCCACTCAGACTAAACTTAAGTAGACTAAAGTATATGGTCAAGTAAACCCAACATGTGATGTCCTTATATGAGGACACAGGGTCTCTTGAGGATACAGAACAAATTTGAGAGACTTAGAAAATCTAAACCAAGAGGCACAGAGGAGCTGTTCTTTCAGCTCCTGGTTGCCCAACACTTTACCAAAACACCTATCTACATATAATTATGTATTGTGTCACTCTATTCTAATTAGTTCAAGATTTTGATCCAAAGGCATTACTCAGTTTCAACAAATTCTACTGGCAGCACATTGATGAAAATGTTTACAGCATCAACATCAAGTGGCAAATCACTTCAAATCAAATCCCCACACTGGCAACAAGAAGTCCTTTAAGAGAGGACTACAGCAACACAATCCTGTAACAAATGATTGGGGCTATCTGAATGAAAAAAAAGAAAAATCCAAACACTCAAATGCCCAAGAGCCAAATCAAGCTGATGCCGGGGCGGTGATAGCTGAAGAAACAGAGTGAGATTGTGTGTGGGATGGTCTTTGAAAACAATCCATTTGCAATTGCAGCAGGTTGGCCAGCAGTTGACTGCAAACTGCCCCGACCTACAGTGACCGCTCCTCCTCTTAATGACTAAGTATGCTAATCTGTGTCCACTTATTTGATTGTTCTGTTAAGCAGCTGAATCTGCTGTCTACTGACCACAGAGATCAATACTGTCACACTGTCTCGTCAGTATCGAGAAGCAGTCATGAGGTTTGTTCTGGCAACACTGTACTGCAGGTTTCTGGCGCTTACTCTGCTTACAAAGTCATTTTTATTGTTGTTAAAACTAGGACACCAGTTTACACTGTGTTGCCACTTTTCAGTTTCATTTCTACCCACAAGAGTTTGTCACACTATCAGCTAAAGCAAGACTATTTGTTTCTCAGTTTATTTGAGTGTGCTTCCCTTTGGAGCAGTGTTAGCTGTCCTACTTTTTGTACACTATTTATATTTAAAGGAACAGTGAGTAAGATTCGGGGAGATTTAGTGGCATCTAGTGGTGAGGACTGCAGACTGCAACCAGCAGAAACTTCTACAGGTTATTGTTCCTTTAGTTTTCATTGATCAGGAGGGTTTTACTCAAAGCCAAATTATCCACAGAGGTCTCTTCCTCTCCAAAACAAGCAGACTCTGTGATTTAAAGCTATAATAACACTGAGTAAATCAGTGTCACATAAAAAAAAGGGAAAAAAAGTTTTTCTGATGCTTTTGTCATGTAGGGGTTTGTAACTGCGGTGGCCGATGCTAAAACTCCCAACATATTTTCAGTCCGACCTCTTCACATATTGATGTTAGGTCATGGAATTTCCACGTCCAGATACGACATGCAAGGTACCCTGGGTGCATTGGTTGTTGACATTCTGGGACACTGTGTCAAGTTCTGCC